CTTCTTTTCTTCTTCTTTTTGGTTAAAGAAAAGAAGTCCAGTTGCCATGACTCAACCTCCAGACAACTGGGGGGTGACAAAGATAACATGTTTGGCCTGGCCCCACCAACTCCGGGCTCAGCTGCACCCACTTGTGACAAAGCCAGTTAGATGGGCCAAGGAGGGGAGAATCAGAAAAACAAATGCTACTCACCCTTACAAAGCTGGCGGGAAACCAGCCCTCTTCATCATCGATCTGTCCCCACCACCAGTCCTTGTTGGAGGCATCGAGGACCTTGATCACGTCTCCCGCTTTAAACGCCAACTCCCGGTTGGCCATGGTGACGTGATCCCATACTGCCTCAGCACTGACAATCGAACCGCCACTGATCAGCTTGAAAAACAAAACAAAGCCCATCAGCCACATTCTCTTCCCCAGAGAGAAAGCCCCCTCCTCCCGCCACCCCTATGCAGAGAGGATGAGGAAGTGTGTGGTCTGAACACTTCTCCCTTGCTTTTCAAAGAAGGCGGGGATTTCGGTCCACCTGGCTAGGGAAGGGGCATGCCCAAATGATGCCATGGAAGTGATTGCAGGGAAGGTCTCCTTCTTACAGAATTTTCTCTGCTGGACTATGGCATTACAGGCTGCAAATGAAGGCACATGCATGAAACGACATGTCCAGCATAAGCCTTTGCATCCAGAAAACTATCAAATCAGGGTTCCCATTGGGCCTTCTCCTTGAGAATCTGGCTTAGTAAGTGGAAGAATTTTTTTTGCATCACCTTAAAAATGTGCGGGGGGGGAGAGAGTACAGTAAAGATTGAGCACGCCAGGTAAACCCAGAATGGTGAATGTCAGATGGAAAAGAGAAAAAGAATGGGGTATGGAATGATATAAGCTGGTTGGCCAGTTGAAAGCCTTTGAAATGGGAAGGATATTTAATTATTTCTTCCCATTTATAGTGTCTAATGCTAAGTGTATGGCTCAAGCACTATTTAGTATTCAGACAATTTGACATTATGAACAAATCTTATCCTTATGGAAGGGAGTCTTCACGCTAGTTAAAAGCTCGCTTCACTAAGTTAGGAACTTGGGTCTGATGCCTAAGAACATCAGCTATCACCTGCGCACGCTGCAGATCTCGGCAACATCAAGAACATGGATGCTATTCAACCTCTAAACTGGTGGAGCAGAAATAACCTTGTTGGAAGAGTGTCCCAAGCGACCCTCACCTCAGGACAGGCCACGACAGAATCAAAGCCACCCTTGGACACCCAAATTGGCACTCCAACTTTCAAGGGTGTTCCATCAGATCAAGTGAGAAAAGAGGTTTTGTCACAAGGTGAAGACAGGACTTTCTCTCTTTGCTTAGCAGCTGCTGAAGAGCATTCAGACGAGATCAGACAGACAGTGGGTGGCAGCTTCATCCCACTGGGGCTGATCTCTACATAGAGGCTCTGGATTACTCAACTTGGCAGGAGATTATTATCTAAGCAGAGCCTCCTTCCAGGGATGTCTCAAGAGTCTTTCCAGTCGCTCTTTTTGGAGGATTGCAGCCTGTCCCTGATTTAATCCAGAGACGGACACAGCCATCCCATATCTTTAATTCTGACCTCAAACATCACTTGTTTACTTATTTTTGCAGCCAGGTTGTGGAAGCCTGCATTTTTAAATATTTGGGGGGTGGGGTTATTATTACAATTATTTTTAATATAACCACCCACTCCAGTTTAAAAGAAGGAAGCTGGCATGTTGCAAAGCAAAACCCAAACTTTAGCATAGAGTTCTCAGGGCTAGCTAGGGAATTCTGGGAGTTGAAGTCCACCCATCTCAAAGTTGCTGAGGTTGGGAAACACTGCTCTACCTTCATCTATTCCCCCAAATATCTGGGGAGCTGTTGCTTTATTTGGCCATGTGCCCACCAGCCCCAAGTAAAAGGTATCTCAGTGATTCTGGGTATTCAGGACAAAAGGAAGCAGCAAGAAGAACATGAAAGTTCTTTGTCTTCCATGTCAATGGCAACTACTTTTCTGAGAGTGCCCCAAACTTGCTCTCAAAGTCAAAATGGGTGCAGGGGCCAAAAAAGGCTGTACTAATGAAAGGAAAGACAACATTTAGACTTATTTTTGGCTCCTGAGAGAAGAAAGTTTAAGAAACTCTGCCATAGAGTTCGGTGTCCCTACTGTACTTTTTTTTAATGCAACTTTCCCAAAAACGTTTTGCGCAGGGAAAGAACACTCGCAGATCACGACTCTTGTGATCAGGTCTTGCCAATCATGGAAATTGGTTCTTCTGAAGAACATGGAGGGCTTCTTGCCTATCAGCTCTTGAGCCTCCTTCCACATGACTTTCTGACATCTCTCTGCTGCAGCGTTTCCCTTTCCTTCCATGTTTCAAACAGCACTGATACCCTCCAGCCCAAAAGGAAAAACATCGTGCAACGTTCCTGTTACTCATTTGCAAGCTCTGTTTCCATGTTCTCTTCCAGGTCTCTCAAGAGAAACTCCACAAGTACCACCCTCATCTAGATCCATCAGCCTTGACCCCAGAAGCTGCTGATGCTTTTACTGCTTAAAAAAATAAATGAAGGAGAACCAAAGGCTCTCAAACAGGAAGTTTAGGGAGGAGGGACCTAAAATGCAGAAATATTTCTGAGGCTTGCTAATGAAGGTTGTGGGCGGAGCAGTTACTTTAAAAAAAGCTGAGAAATCTGTGGTCAAATAATAGCATTATTTTAACTCCAAGATTACTTTGTTCTTTGACTCTTTTCAGTGGCATGCCTCCATTAGTTGAAGACCCATTGGGGTGGATGGACCAGAGGTGGGTAGAAGAAATAACTTTCTCTAAGATACTGCTACATGTGCCTTCTTTCACATATCCACACAGTCCCTCTCATCATGTATACAGGGACACTGAAGGCACCATCAGGCCACCAAGTCCACAGATGGCTGTCTTGAAGGCCCTAAGCTCTGCATCAGACCAGAACCTCCTTTCCACACCTCTGGAGGTCCACCAATCACCACCACCAAAATCTGGTGGCAAGGAGACCTATCACCTTGAAGCCGGAAGAACACAGAAATGGTAGTCTAGGTTGCCCTAAAATAGGTGGAGTTTTCAAAAGATGCAAAAGAAAAAGCCACGTCTCCCTCCACCCAAATCAGCAAGAGAGGGAACTAGAAAAGCTTGGCTTGACCATGTGGGGTGAAGCCTCCACCTACATCACCTCCTCGCCTTATTCACTCGGTTCCCATCCTCCTCTAAAAAGGGTAAGAATAATTACATGTCCTATAAAGCACACTTGGATCACCAGAGGCTCTTATCATATGCCACCTGATTTCTTTGTCCTTTTTAAGAGAAGATGCAGATGTTGAACGTGAGGCTCCCACTGTGCTATGGCTCTGCCTATTGACATGAAGCACAAATTTTCAGGGTGAACCAGATTATAGTTTCCTTCAAGCTTTCCCTGCCAATGTGGGGAATCATGCAGGGGACAAGGTATGGCTAATATGATGGCCTCTGCATTCTCGCTCCAGGAGTCCCCAAGCACCAGTCATGCTGGGTGGGAGTTGTTGTGGCTCTTAACCTCACACAACTCAAGGGCATCAAACTGGTCCAGACAAAAAGGTTTCCATTAAAAAAAAAATCCGCATGTCTGACTTCCCATGCCGTGTTTGCCCTTGGCAATCCCACCGCCCTTTCTCTGGTTCTGCTTATCTCCCCGCTGCTATTCTGAGGACACTCTAAGAAGCCATTCAATTGCTTTGGTCTTTTGGAACTGATGGGTTATTTTTAATTATTATTTGAAATGATTACAGATTGACCTTCCTTTTTCATTTTTTCCCCCCTTCTCTGTCTCTGTGGCTTGGCAAGAGGCAGTGCTGAGAATATGACAGAAAAGCAATAATTTAGCAGATATTTCTCTCTCCCGCACTCTCTCTCTATGCTCTCCAACTCTGCCCTATCCTGCCTCCAGATGCTAGTGGGAAAACCGGGTTGAGGAAGGCATTCTTGCTTAATTACGTAACAGCTTTTTAGATCTTTGGGGAGAATGCAAAGCTGTTATGTGGGCACCACAGGCAACCTCCCACTAACCCAGTAGGGAAGAGATAATAGAATCTGGATGTTGAAGGGGCCACTGGGACTATGGAGTCCAACTCCATACCTAGTGCAGAATCTAAATTTAAGTGTCCCTGACGGATGACAGTCTAGCCTTGGCTTGAACATCTCCATGAAGGAAAGCCTGTAACCTTATTGGGTCATTGATTCCACTCTTAAGCTGCTCCTCCCATTAGGACGTTTTCCTAACATTAAACCAGACATTATCCCCTTGAAACATCAGGCCATTATATGCATGGTGCATTCCACAGTGATAGAAGCTACTGTATCCTGATCTTCTCTGTGATACCCTTTTCTCCCCATTCTATCTAGAAATGCAGGAATTGAATGTTCAGGTCTTGTGGGCAAAATCTTTGGGGTTTTTCCAATGAACTTAGTACTTTTCCTATATGCACCTGAAGCTGGCTTATTCAGGCTGGATTAATGCATCCTAGTAAACTAATCTACTCCAACGGCATTTTACCTTTTTCACAGCGAACCAAGTTACTAAGCCCCAGTTTAGAATGAGGGATAATCCCAGCCAGAACCTGACTCATATCACTGATCCATCTAAACCAGTGTTTCTCAACCTTAGTAACTTTACAATGTCCGGACTTCAACTCCCAGAATTCCCCAGCCAGCACAGCTAGCTGGGGAACTCTGGGCGTTGAAGTCTGGACATCTTATAGTTGCTAAGGTTGAGAAACATTGCTCTAAACACTGTCCTGATGCTAAATACTTTTCTTCCATAGATTTTAGGCATTGAACCCAGGACCTCTGGAATGCAAAGGTAGTTTGGAACTCCAATCCTTTGCGTAAAAGCAATGTGATTAAGAACATCTGAGGAGCATAGACACTGGGTGAGGCCAAAGGTTCTTTTATGTTAGGGTTCTGTCCCCTCTGGAATGTCCTGGAAGCTCACAAGCCTAGACAGCAGGATGATCATCCACTCTCCAGAACCAGGTAGTTATGACTTATTACCTATGATTCAAACCAACTATCAAGCATAGTTGCCATTAATTACCCAATTTTTGATTAATTTGTCTAGGCCCCTTTTCATGCCACCTCACTTGATGGCCACTGCCTTCAGCTGTAGACTATTTTAGAGGGTCTTTGTTTGTGACTGTGCAAAAATTCAGAAGCAGGAGAAAGTAAAGGAAAAAGCTAACTGAATCCACCCCCAGTCCTAAACAGCTACGTGTTATTGACTAGCTCCATGATGGTACAGCAATCTCACTTCTGCTATCACCTCTTGGTATAACTATTAAGATAAGAAAGGCAGGTGCCTAGGCAGTATC